AAGATCTGAGTACTTCTACTTTTACTCAAGATCTGAGTACTTCTACTTTTACTCAAGTACAAGATCTGAGTACTTCTACTTTTACTCAAGTACAAGATCTGAGTACTTCTACTTTTACTCAAGAACAAAACCTGAGTACTTCTACTTTTACTCAAGTACAAGATCTGAGTACTTCTACTTTTACTCAAGTACAAGATCTGAGTACAAGATCTGAGTACTTCTACTTTTACTCAAGATCTGAGTACTTCTACTTTTACTCAAGATCTGAGTACTTTTACTCAAGATCTGAGTACTTCTACTTTTACTCAAGTACAAGATCTGAGTACTTCTACTTTTACTCAAGTACAAGATCTGAGTACTTCTACTTTTACTCAAGACAGATCTGAGTACTTCTACTTTTACTCAAGATCTGAGTACTTTTACTCAAGATCTGAGTACTTCTACTTTTACTCAAGAACAAGACCTGAGTACTTCTACTTTTACTCAAGAACAAGATCTGAGTACTTCTACTTTTACTCAAGTACAAGATCTGAGTACTTCTACTTTTACTCAAGTACAAGATCTGAGTACTTCTACTTTTACTCAAGATCTGAGTACTTTTACTCAAGATCTGAGTACTTCTACTTTTACTCAAGAACAAGATCTGAGTACTTCTACTTTTACTCAAGAACAAGACCTGAGTACTTCTACTTTTACTCAAGTACAAGATCTGAGTACTTCTACTTTTACTCAAGTACAAGATCTGAGTACTTCTACTTTTACTCAAGTACAAGATCTGAGTGCTTCTTCCACCTCTGGCTTTGAGAAAGTGTTCCTCGTTATCAAATCAACATTTTCAATCAAGGCATCATGGATCCATTGCAAAAAACGGAAGCTGAAAACAGCCTTACACATGTACAGCAGTCAAATGAAAAATGCTCATCCAACACAAACATAATAGTAAAACACTGACAGGTAGCATTTTTCTTTGTATAATTATTCATAAACTTTGCTGTTTTCACAGTGTGGTATTAGTAGTATTACTTTAATAAAGGTTGTGTGTACTTCTTCCACCCCAGCATTTGTAATGGACATTATGTATTCATGTAAACAGAGGTGTTTCCTGAGGGATAAGCAGCAGTCAGAAATGGCAGGTGGGGGGGAGTTGGCGGTTGGCCATTGGCAATAGTTGTTGGCACAGTGGACGATTGGCGGTTCGCAGTTGGAAATTGCTGTTGCTGATGGTGGTTGGCAATTGACTCTTGGTGACTGTGGTTGGCAGACCCAAACGCAGTGAAAAAGGGAACCAAGAAGTAATAACAAAAGCTGAGCTTTATTCAAAAAGCTGATTACAAACAAAGAAAAACTAAGAAACACTAATCGGGTGAAACAAGGAACAACAACACACTCACAGACAGGCAGGGAACAAACTCACAGACAGGCAGGGAACAAACTCACAGAGAGGTAGGGAACAAACTCACAGAGAGGCAGGGAACACACTCACAGAGAGACAGGGAACAAACTCACAGACAGGCAGGGAACACACTCACAGACAGGTAGGGAACAAACTCACAGACAGGCAGGGAACAAACTCACAGACAGGCAGGGAACAAACTCACAGACAGGTAGGGAACACACTCACAGACAGGCAGGGAACAAACTCACAGACAGGTAGGGAACACACTCACAGACAGGCAGGGAACAAACACACAGACAGGCAGGGAACACACTCACAGAGAGGCAGGGAACACACTCACAGAGAGACAGGGAACAAACTCACAGACAGGCAGGGAACACACTCACAGACAGGCAGGGAACAAACACACAGACAGGCAGGGAACAAACTCACAGACAGGCAGGGAACAAACTCACAGACAGGCAGGGAACAAACTCACAGACAGGCAGGGAACAAACTCACAGACAGGCAGGGAACACACTCACAGACAGGCAGGGAACAAACTCACAGACAGGTAGGGAACATTGACGAAAATACGACGACCGAACATGGAGCAAAGGAGAGGATAAGACTAAATACACAGAAGGGGAATCACAGGAGAAGACACAGCTGGGCAGAGGAGGCAGAAACACAAAGAGACAATCAGACACAGGAAGGAAGACCAGACAAAGGGAGAACAGAATTTGAAAATCAAACCGGAAAATGGCAACATAAATCCAAAACCATGACAGATTCAGTCAAGCCATTGGCAATTGCTGTTGACGGTTGGCTATTTGCAAAGGCTGTTGGCGATTGACCTTTGGAGATAGCGGTTGGTGGTTGGCTGTTGCCGGTCAAGTCTCCACTTCAGTGCACAGCCACAGTGACAGGCGGCATGTTGTGAAGCAGTTCCCTTGCTGACTGAGAGGGTTGAGAGCTGTCAGGAGCCAACCTCAGACTCATGCTGCCATCAGCCAGAGCAGCAGGGGCCACTCTGAAGACCCTGCAGTGGGACGGCTGCACGGCCACAATGAACTTCCTCTTAAAGGTTTCACTCAACACGATGTAGATAAACGGGTTGATGCAGCTGTTAGCATAGCCCATGCTGATGGCAATGTTATAGGCGTACTGAAAAGCAAAAGTGGGCCGCTGTACTCCGAGGTGGGCCAGCTGCAGGATGTAATACGGGGCCCAGCAGATGAAGAACGCCAGGCAGATAACCACCGCCATACGGGTCACCTTTCTGGTCCGGACCCTCAGGCTGCGCTGGGGCAAGGGAGCAACTGTCGCGGACATATTCTGGAGAATCTTGAAGAAAACCCCACAGATGATCAGCCATGGTAGAGCGAAGGCCAAGAAGAACTGGTAGAGGGTGAACCAGTATGTGTCTGTCGCTGGGTTGGGCAGCAATAAGGCGCATCCAACTGAGCCATCCCTCCGACGCATGAGTCCTGTATACATCCAGACTGGAGTGATGGAGAGAAGAGAAAAAACCCAAACCAGAGCCACCGCCGCCCCGGCTACGAAGGGCGTTCGGACATGTTTGAAGCGAATTGGGTGAACCGTTGCCAGGTAGCGATCTAGAGTCATCACAGTCAGGATGTAGGTGCTAACAATCTGGCTGTTAGAGTCCAGAGCGGTGATGACGGTGCACATGGTGCCCCCGAAGCACCACGACCCGTTACCCAGGAGCTGGTGGATGAGAAACGGCATGCCGAGGAGAAAGAGGAGGTCTGCGATGGACAGGCTGAAGATGAAGATGTCTGGTACTGTTTGCTGCGAGCAGAACTTGGTTTTCTTCACAATGGTGTAGATGACGATAGAGTTTCCAAAGGTCCCGAGGAAACAGATGACACCAAAGATGCTTGGCATGAGCCCGTTGGTGTACTGCTCATACTCTGAGGAAACAAACTGGTTATAATCATAAATCAATCCAAACTAAAAATCTGATTAAATGATTCAACACTTATTTTTACATCTGTGACGAAGCACTAACAATGTGTGTTGAGTCTGACAATCAATTCAGAAATGTTGAAAACACTTCCCTACGTTTCCTTTGGCTCACACTCAAACCAAAGTGACTCACAAGCCACTCAGAACATCAACAAAAGCTAAAAGCAGGTTCTTCACTTAAGCCAAAGCATTGTTAGAGAGGAGAAACAAAACAACCTACCTTCTGTTAGATTCTCAGCCGAACTGAACGGTGAAAAAGATGAATTTGAAATGATTTCAAAGTCCATCCCAAAGAGCTTTTCGTGGTCTTCCCACACAGGGATAGGTCAAGTAC